TGTGACAATATGCAATGTACTTTTTTTTATGTCACCCTGTATAGGGGCGTTCTAGATGATGAGAACTTCAGTAAAAGTGATCCAATCCATTGAAAATCGCATAGTAACATTCATATGGGAAGAAACGGCATCATGATTACAACAATGTGAAGAAAACTATAACAGATTTCGGTATTTGTTACTTCGGAGTAGGAATCACGAATTTGTTGAATTTGTTATGTTATCAGAATACATTTTTGAGTGCATTGCTCCGGTTTTGTTGAAATTTCTGCGCCGAGTATAAGATTCACAATATGAAAATATAAAAATCATTAATCTGTAACGTTACGGAAAAATCGGAGTATAATGGCATACTTCAGTGGATTCTACATTGCAAAATTATATCGGCAACCTGAAACTTCACGGTTAATTTATCCATCGTTATAAGAAAGCGTTGCCATAAAACTCGAATAAAACGTATATGCACGTATTTCCTCGCTAATTGAGCCTTTTTTATGTGCCTGGGTGTTTATTGGTTTTAAATTCGTATCTTGACAAGTTGTTATTTTCAGACCCCGAGACCCGAATAGTAAGTAAAGATTAACTGAATCCTTGGTATATTTCTGGACATTTTTCAAAAATCACAATCACAACTCTCAACAGGGAGACTTTAACTGGAATAAATAGAATGATTTTTCTAGGATTTCGTGAGACTCGTCAACGTTTTAATGTATTTATCTACATTTGGCAGAAGTATTGCTCTTCAGGGTTAGTTGAAATCAGCCCCAACATAAGAGATTAAAAAAAACACAACTCTATAGCTCTTGACTCCTCATTGGTAAGCTAGTTGAACGACAAGGGTTGCAATAAATCAATACATAATTTCGAAGTCTCAGATACTTTCAACGTATATAGGTATTCATCAGAATCTCGATTATTAGCGATTCAATTGAATAAGGCTTCTTCACCAGTTTGCATCAACACTTCATTTCGAAAGGTGAATACGGTATACAAACTATAATAGTAATAATTTTCCTAACAAGTGCGGAAAGACACTTTCCGCATGAATTAGGAACAATATTTTTTCTACAAGCGTAGGAAATTGATTGATATGTTCAATTAATTATTCATGCATATAGGAACAACTAACAAGATAAATATATTCTCTATCTACTGATTATTAGTAATAGCTAATAGCTATTGTGAACTTACTGTTTGACGCATTATGTAGGTTCATTACGGAAGCCAGCAGGCCCATAAGGTGTTTGGTCTCTAGGTTTCAGACACTTCTAGGAAATGTGCCAAAAATTTCTTTTTTTCTGTGACGGGAAAAAAGTTTGGCATTTCATCTCTGTTGGCAGGTTATAAAATGTCACTTTACATAAATTACTTTTTTCCCGTGGGAAAAAAGTGAGTACTTTTTTCACGGATATATATCACATATACAGGGTGTTTCATAATTGAATGCTGATCCTAAAGGGCGATAATCCTTGGATGATTTTAAGAAAAATTCTTCATGTGAACATAGGTCCGTAACAGCTTCGTTTCTGAGATACAGGATGTTGAAATTTAACAACAAAATCAGTTATTCCCCAATATCACTGAAACCGCTCTGGCTTTTTCTTCATTACAAAAACTTGAAAATAGTTACCATTAAATTAAAAAAATATTGTTTAGATCTTTTGATTACCACAATTGTGAAATTATGACTAAGTGTAAAAATCGAATAGGGACAAGCAAATAAATGCATTTTATTTTCTAACTCAAAAACCGTTCGCCGGACGAAAAAAAGACAGGAGACCATTTTTATGAGAAGATAAAGGATAATTACAAAAATGATATTTATTTGGAAAAAAGACAGTGGCGCATCATTATTTTGATGAAAAATATGACAGGGTATGTTAACAGGGACGCCACTGATGGAAATTAAGAAATCCTCTATTAAGGAAAAAATGTATTTCTATTCATACTTGGCATGTACCAAAATTGAAGAAAAAAGCCAGAGCGGTTTCAGAGATATTGAAGAATAACTGATTTTTTTGTTAAATTTCAACATCCTGTATCTCAGAAACGAAGCTGTTACGGACCTATGTTCACATGAAGAACTTTTCTAAAAATCATCCAAGGATCATCGCCCATTAGGATCAGCATTCAATTATGAAACACCCTGTATATACAACGTTGCTGTTGATGGCTTTTGTTGTGCTATAGTTCCGAAAAATGAGTCAATAATACCGTCTCCGAAAAAGAACTACAAGTCCTTTTATCTTCCATTCGACTTCGCGGTTACGTATATTACTAAACAACCACTAAATTTGCAATTTTTTTGAAATCAAATCACAGAATTAGACTGACGGAAGTGACATCAGATATTTGATAACTTCAGAAGAATGATAAAGATGCCTACAACGCAGGTGTCCCTACTGTTAAAAACTTTAAATTTCACGTCGATAATTTTCAGATTTCATAATAATGTGATATCTTCTCAATATTTATTCGTTCTTTCTGCTGTTACAGAAAAAAATTGTGCATTATACACGGGAAAAATATCAGATTTTAGCTCACAATCTGGAGCTAAAATCTACTACTTTTTTCCCTTGTATAATAAATAACTATTTTTCTGTGACGGGAAAAAAGTTTGGCATTTCATCTCTGTTGGCAGGTTATAAAATGTCACTTTTCATAAATTACTTTTTTCCCGTGGGAAAAAATTGAGTACTTTTTTCCCGGATATATATCACATATATATACTCTGTTAATGGCTTTTGTTGTGCTATAGTTCCGAAAATGAGTCAATAATACCGTCTCCGAAAAAGAACTGCAAGTCCTTTTATCTTCCATTCGACTTCGCGGTTTCGTATATTACTAAACAACTACTGAATTCGCAATTTTTTGAAATCAAATCACAGAATTGAACTGACAGAAGTGACATCAGATATTTGATTACTTCAAAAGAATGATAAAGATGTCTATAAAACGCAGGTGTCCCTACTGTTAAAAACTTGAAATTTCACGTCGATAATTTTCAGATTTCGAAATAATGTGATATCTTCTCAATATTGATTCGTCCTTCCTTCTGTCACAGAAAAAAATAGTGTATTATACACGGGAAAAATATTAGATTTTAGCTCACGGTTTTTTGTCTCCCTCCGCTACGCGTCGGGAGACAACACAACCTGAAGCTAAAATCTACCACTTTTTTCCCTTGTATAATAAATAACTATATATATATTTCTTTATTCGGTATTTTTATTTCTTTATTGTTGCACCATTCAATAAAACGCGTGTATAGCTTATCAAACCTTTCTTAAGACTTCGTTGGCAATAACGCATCTGTATCGCATCCCTACATCTGGAAGTTGTGGCAATTCCACTGAATCGAATATGACAGTAATGCTGTGTCTGTCACTTTGACAATTACAAACTTATTTGAGGTTTGATTGGCATGACAACAATAATCGTTACACATCAGATCAATTCAAATCTATAGGGGGACTTTCATAATATTCAATTTCAATTTTTCAATAATTCTTAATTTTCACAATGAATAGTGCAATTTGATGGATGATTCTGAACATACATACTCAATACTGCAAGAAACAAACTTGAACTCTCATATTCCATCACCAACCACTCATATTTTGCGTTATTATCATATCTTTGTTTTTTCCGAACTAGTGTGGGATAAATTTGCCCGCACTGTAGCGGGAAGATGACACTTCCCAAACTAAATGCTTTAAATTATCTATGGGACATCTGGAAATCGAGAATTTGTTAATAAAAATTATTTTTGAAACTACGTTTTGATTTTATGCAACCCTCAAACGAACTAATAACTGAGATTTGATCAGTACGCTGGATTCCTCTCCACCAGATTTCCGAAGAGGGGTCACAAGTCATAGAGTTGCATATAGAAAAAACATATGAAGGATGGTTTCAGCTAGCCATGTTATAGTTATTTTCCAGATTGCTTGCAAAATGTTGACGATTGAAGAATACATTGAAACATTGACGCTAGCGAATGTATTTTTTATATATTTGTTAGTATACTCTCCAAAGCAAGATCTATTGTACCTATATTTGTTACACACCTTCTTCACGTGATTGTTCTGATGAACCTGAAATAGGAAGTCAAAACAGAAACCTTTTAGTTTTCTATCACATTATTGCTTGCTGCCACCGAATGTACGGGGTCGTTGAGCAAATATCTGGGGTACAGGCGGGCCCCAATTTGAATACTTCATTTCAAATTTTATTAAAAACTATGAGCATGTTTTATTAACCGCTTCAACATGCTTATTATAACCATGTTCGTGTATTTTTCTTCTACACAATAAATTCTTTCCGGCTCATGATGGATACCTTTTGGGTCCGAAACATATGTCATATGTCCCCCCCTTCTTGAATTCGAAATTAAATGTTTTGGAGACGACTTTGAGAGTTTTCATTATATTTCAACTAATTCACTCTACTTTGAGATAACATGGACTCTTACAGTAGATTGATGTATAAGGGGTTTGCTTGGCTTGCGAGATTCAGACGGGCACTAATAGTTTAAGGGTATTTAACTGAAAGTACGAGACTATGTTTTTTTTCAATAACAAAATTTATTATAAGATGAAACATTATTGAACATATGAAAGTAACAACAATTAATATGAAGACCTAATAACAACCTATAGATTATAATGACCATTACGACAAGTTCTTGTCAGGTCACGAGTAGCCCCAAACCCTTCGATCATACAGGGGGTTTGTTGTTCGGACCATCTCTGAAACTTGGGCTTAGACTTGTACGTTTTTTCATGAGAGTTCCTTGGTCTGTTTTCATATTTCTATGTCGACGGATGTTTATAAAACCCTCATGGTTCGAAATAAATAAAGACATATTATTATTATTATTATTATTATTATATAAATCACCAATATACCGAGGGCTCTACTCGTTACGATATTGCGGATCTTTATTAGTGACACTTCATATCAATTCGTTATCTTGAATATGGTTGGGCTACTTACAGGGTAGACGTACCGACTGAAAAAAGAGTGAGACGATGGGCCCTATCCATGGAAGAGCTGGTATCTGATCCTACAGGTCTTCAAGAGTTCACCAACTATCTCAGAAAAGAGTACAGCCACGAAAATATCCGATTCTGGATGGCAGTGAACGATCTCAGGAGATCAGCTCAATCGCAAATCGCATGGAAAGTTCAGGACATTTTCGAGTGAGTATAACAATCATTTTTTTCTTTCATCCACATGACTTTGAGATCGTCATGAGAATCGAGATATTTATTACTATAACGGGGGTCCCAGAGCATTTAGGACATCATGCCATGTTATCAGTATCCTCCATAGTTTTTTAAAAAGCATTCTACTAGAGATTGGTGACATTTCTTGATAATTATACATTTTTCATTCCCTTTTAATTCGGTTTCAGAAGGGGAATGTCCACCAATCAGGCAATCATATCAAGTAGCACACATATATTGGGACAATATCGATGCAATATTACGAAAATATCGGAAAAATATTGTGAAAGTAATATTGGCGAGAAAAAAAATGTGAACATTCGGCGATATTGGTACAATATCAGTTTCCAAATGTGGGTAGAATATTCTCATATTAATATTGGTTGAATATTCGTAGAGTTATATCGGACACAAAATGTAATATCAATATTGGCGAGAAATTAATGGTGAACATTCGGCAATATTGTAATATATGGAAATATCGGTGAATCATTGAAAATCATCATGAAGGTATGTTGTCTCAGAAATATTGGTAGAATATTCTCATACCAATATTGCTGGAATATTCGTGAAGTTATATTGGTCACAAAATGTGATATCAATATTGCTGATAAATGGACAGTGAACATTTGACAATACTGGTGCAATATTGGTTGGAAATATTGGTACATTATTGAAAATCATTATGTAGCTATGTTGTCTTCAAAATATTGGTGGAATATTTTCATACCAATATTTGCGAGTTATTCGCATCAGGAATAATCACAAAGGTCAGCCCAGCCAGAGTGCAATGGGAGGGCCTTGCCCTGGGGAAGCCGCCTTGTTGATCACGGTTAACCCCTACTCCAGGTTATAATACTTTACAATCGTCTAGAGCCAATATTTATATTCTCTCGTCTGATCGGCAATGGGAGTACGTTACCAATCATTTATAGCGCCATCTATCGACATCGGTTTGGGAGTGCGTAATATGGAATAAATATCGAAATTTCGATATCGATATGTATTCTCAAAACAATATGTGAACAATATTGCTCACATGATATAGTGAATCACATATCAGCCAATATAAGATGATATTATTTTCTGAATATTGCTAGAAAACTATTCACCCGATATGCAATTGAACTTGAGAAAACAATATTGTTTTTCTCTTCTATGTCCGATATAAGTTATATATTGAATTGCCGTTATTGATATTCATATTTGAATCATTGAAAACCCCTTCAGAATCGACATGGGGAGAATGTTCAAATTGCGATATTGGTTATGATTGTTGGAAACAATATGTATACGATATATTCCGCATGATATCAATCAATATAGGTAAATTCGATGTTCCAAATATTATTGAAACAATATTCATCCAATTTGCCGTCGAATCCGATTACACAATATTGTATATCCGCTTCAGAATCGACATGGGGAGAATGTTTGAATTGCGATATTGGTTATAGTTGTTGGAAACAATATGTGTGCGATATCTTCCGCATGATATAGTTGGAATGATATCAGTCAATATAGGTAAATTCTATGTTCCAAATATTGTTGAAACAATATTCTACCAATATGCCGTCGAACTCGAACATACAATATTTCATAACCGCTTCAGAATTGACATGGGGAGAATGTTCAAATTGCTATATTGGTTATAATTGTTGGAAACAATATGTATACGATATCTTCCGCATGATATGGATAGAATGATATTAATCAAGATAGGTGAATATGATATTTCGAATATTGTTGAAACAATATTCAACCAATATGCCGTCGAACTCAAATATACAATATTGCACAACCGCTTCAGAATCAACATGGGGACAATATTCAAATCGCGATATTGGTTATAAATGTAAGAAGCAAATTATCTACGATATCTTCCGCATGATATAGATAAAATGATATCAATCAAGATGGGTGAATATAATGTTTCAAATATTGTTAAAACAATATCCAATCGATATGCCGTTTAACTTGAATATACAATATTGCATAACTGCTTCAGAATCGACATAGGGAGAATATTCACATTGGAATATTGGTTGTAAATGTCGGGAACAATATGTATACGATGTTGTTGTATCGGCATTCGTAAAACAATATTATATAACATTCATAGATATGTTATTCAACCAATTGTTAACGAATTTCACAACCAATATTGCTCCAATATTGTAGCTGACAATCCATGTTCAGCTCAGGTTGAACCAATATTCCACCAATATTATCATTCCAATATTGTTTGTCCAATATACTCTCATATTGGACCTATATTATTTTTCACATGTACGATATATCTATATCGGCCCAATATGAAATCGTGTTCCAGCCAATATGATGTGCTACCTGGGTAGCATTGTATAATGAAGTTCTTCAAAACTTGGATAAAAGTAGGTTTGCAGCCTGTCTTTTTTTCGATTTACAGAGAGCATTCGAAGTAATTACCATAGAACTCCTGCTTCAAAAGTTAGAAAACTATGGGATATGAGGAAATACCTTACAGTGGCTTGAAGGGTTTCTGTCGAATCGTACGCAACGTGTTAGATAATTTCGTATTACCCTGAAGAAGAAGCGGTAAACAGTGGAGTTCCTCAAGGCAGTTTGCTGGGGCCTCTTTTGTCTGTAATTTTCGTAAATGATATAACATACAAGAACATGTCTGGAACTCACATATCGTTATACGCAGATGATACTTCTGTTGCCTCCTCAGGTGAATCACTAGCAAATCTGCACAACACATGCACTGAGGCCGCAAATTATATCAATATTGTTAAATGAACAACCTTATATTGAATCAAAGCAAGACTGAATTAATCATGTTCTCCTTGAAGGCTTTAAATGAAAGTTTGATAATAAAATTACATGATGAATGTATCGAACAAAAGCAAGTAGTAAAATTCTTAGGAGTATTAATAGACTCTAAACTTTCATTGACGTATCAAACCGATAACGTTCTAAAAAGATTAGCGAGACATTGTTTTGTACTCTGGCAACTTCGATCAAGAATAGATCACAATCTCTTGAAATTGTACTATTATTCATACGTTCATTCAACCATGAATAATGGGATTCTAGCCTGGGGCAACAGTTCAAGGTCTAATGAAGTTTTTATTCAACAAAAAAAGATTGTACGTAATATGATGTTCAAACCCAGGACGTTTTCCTGTCGCCAGTTGTTCAAACAACTTGAGCTCTTAACGTTCCCCTCTCTCTTCATTTATAATTGCATATTACATATAAAAAATAACCGAGCTATTCTCAACCAGTCTCGTGAAAATATTGAACACAACTTAAGGCAAAACTTCAATATCAATATACCATCCCATCGTTTGTCAACTGTGGCTAACAGTCCGTTGGTTTTGCCGAACAAATTATACAACCACTCACTCACTAGGCTTAAAATATTATCGAATGTGAACAAATTCAAAAACATATTCAAATATGAAGTTCGTAAACTTTTAGTAGACGGAGTTTTTCATTCGGTTCCGGAATATATGTGTTGTAACCTGGTTTGTACTGATATGGAGAGTATCAAACCAAAAGATACCAAGATGTATTATAGGAATATGTCCAACAACAACAACCTCGAAAATCTCTCATTACTATTGACAATGGACAATTTTGATGAAACATATAAAACAGATGATATTGATTCAGCAATTGATTCATTTATGTGTACTCTGCAGTATTACATAGATATATCTTGTCCTATTATATTGTGCAAGAATCACAATGTTTCAAAATCAAGTTGGGTAACTCCTGATGTCAGGAAAGCCAGTAGAGACCTAAAGAATCTGCATTGGTTATCCACCTCATCGAATTGTGACATCCTTCGAGATAAATATAAAGTAGCCAAACTGAACTATGCTGACCTACTCAAAACCGCAAAACTTGGATATCATCAGGATTTGATCAATAACTCCAGCAATAGACAAAAAACAGTATGGAATCTAGTCAATAAGGAAACAGGTAGGAAGAAACAAAGTACTAGCATCATACTCTCAGTATCAATGATCGGACGATAAGCGATCCCTCAGACTTAGCAAAAGAATTTGGTGAGTATTTTGCCAAAATAACCTTAAAGAACACTTCGGTTCAGATAATACACCCAACTCCTGTACGACTACGAATATTTTGTACAATACGTTCTTTTTCGAACCTGTCACTCATGAGGAGGTAACGGACATAATTCGGAACCTAAAAAACAAATGTTGTACCGGGTTAGACAACCTATCAACAAAAATATTGAAAAAAATAAATATCACTATATCTGAACATCTAGCATACTTGATAAATATGTCAATCACATCAGGTAAATTTCCTTCTGCACTTAAGATTGCAAAAATAATACCTATACATTAGAAAAGTGATGTCGATAACATCTCCAACTATCGACCCATATCAATATTGAGTATTGTTTCAAAAATTGAATTGAATTAAATTGAATCATATATCTGCAGGATATCTAACATAAAAAAAATATCAAAAAACTATAGAGTTGATGGGTCCAAAAGCTCTCCAAAATGGCGAGATCACCATGTTTTTTTCGGTTCATCTTATAGAATTCCTTATTCTCAATTCGGCTTTCATCACGATCGATATAGCGTCAACAGTCAAAATAATAATGAAATAAATGATTATGCAGGCTCATTATACTGTTACACTCATTTATTTCTTGAAAAATGAGAGCTACATACGAATTGATATATGATAAGTGTAGCAAGTGATAACAGTCATTTCAAACAATCATTGGAAGAAACATCGAAATTTTTTCATATATTATGAATTGTCTAAATTATTTGTGATTCTTTCACAGCTTTTCCTCCCAAATATTCCACAATTCCTTTTCAATTGTTCTTCTTTCCCTTCACAAATAATTTCTTTGATCAGACTATCACCATCTACTGATCTACTAGTGGGTTTTTTGATACGAATCAAGTCACACCATAGTTGTATTATGCTTATTTATC